TATAGTTTTATATATTTGTGGATTTAATTTTTCCTTATAACATAATGAAAATGGAGTTAAAAAAGTAGAAAAATGAAGGGTTAATAATTAATGTGTTGATTGTATATTAAAAATAAATCAAAATAATGAGAAAAAAGATAAATAGGATAGAAGTGTTCTCATTGAACAACATTTTGGTTCTTCCTTTAATATATATATAGATTTATAAGTAAACTATGTATTTGGTCCATATCATTTGCTCATAATTATTATTAGCCAAGTGTTTGGGATTACTTATTTTTTTATAAAAAATTTTATTAATTTATTATAAGTTAGAATGGTTGAACTTCTTGAAAAATTCTTTATTATCGGTTTGACACCGATATAAGTTGTTTATCTAAACACTCAATATGCTTATTACTAATGTCACACCGGAATAAATCAATAAGTTGTTTTTATAAGTAATTTCAAACACCCCTTAAATTTCATTTTATTATATTTGGAGTCATGTTGGTTTACATTTTATTATAGTCATGGTTTTTTTATGATTTAAAAATTATGAATTCTTTATCAAGAATCTTACTGCTATGTGCCATTCATATGAGAACGAAAATATGTTTTACTCTTCTTTCTTTTGTCTATGAATTCTCTATCAAGAACCTTATTGATAAACCCATGAACATCAAGAGCACAAAAATATGAATAACGAACATTAACCCTAAGAACTTCAAAAACAATCAACTATGAATATAAAAAATACAAGAACGTCAACATAAGCGATAAGTTTCTTCATCCAGTACAAAACCCATGTAAATCAAAAACCCTTAATTTTCATATTTTGATGAGAACCATTTGAATCGACGAACAAAGATTCGTTGCCTACCTTACATGCAACCCTCATTCCCTTTGCAACCAATACACATCCAACTTCACTTTTGCAAGAAATCCAACTGACCTCAACCTCTATATGAATCACCCACATCCATGTGTTTGTGTGTGTTATCAGAAACCTCCATCAGAGAAGCCTCCAAGTTTCTTGTGTGGGTTATCGAAAATCTTCAATAGAGACGTTTCTTAGTCAAACTCCAAATACCGCTCCATTGGATAACCCTCCCAACATAGTCATGTTCTTCTACACCTCTAACACCATTCCCGATTTTGACGAAAGAATTTTAGGGTTTTAGTTTTGATAAAAGAGAGAGCGATGTAGGGTTTCTACTTTCTTCCCCTTCGATCTTCAAGTGAAAAAAGGGAAAGAAAAAACAATTAAGTAATACGTTAAAACAAGGTTAAAAGACATTTTTGCTTTTTATGTGGAGTGCATCGAATAACACTTAATGGAATCTTTTCCTATATAATAGTGTTAGTCAAAAGGATCCAATCCATGACAAGTTGCATAATACTAAAACTCATAACGTAATAAATGCGACTTAAAAACCCTGATCATGATTTTTCAACAATCTATTTTATTTTTAAATCCTTGCGGTGGTGCAATGAACGGTTATGCCACATCAACTTAAGGAAGAAATTTTCTAAATCGACCCTTATAACAACCGTTAAGAGAAGAAGACCGAATCTAACAGTTTGTAAATCACAATGACTACAAATATAACAAATAATCATGAGGACCAAATCTGTAATTTTTGAAAAGTGTGGTTTACTATCATCGAATATTCTTGTTTCTTAAATCAATAAGGAGTAAACTACAAATTTGTTCCATGTAGTTTGGTGTTTGTTACACTTTGGTTTCTATAGTTTTGAAATTACAAATTTGTTGTTGTAATATGCAAAAACGACACATTTTGGCCCCTTTCTCTAACAACTGTTAATTTTAGTAATGAGCATTTTTGTCCTTTTAATATTTTTATTTTATATTTATACAGGTCTTTTGGAACCATCCACTAAAACAATGACACATGGCATCCCTAAATTTTCCAAACTCCCTTCCCATTTTCCCCCTTTCCTACAACCACTCTGATCAGCTTCATCGATTGCCTTCCTCCGACTATCTTCTCGGACAAATTCCAAATATCAAAATAAAACTTAAATTGAAACACCAAACCCAAAAATTCAAAACGCCAAACCAAAAAGTGAAACCCAAAATCAAAAACCCATCAGTTCCATACCCATCTAAAAACTGAAACCCAAAAATTGGAGATCAATGCACTAAACCTGCTTTCTCCCCTTTCCTACAGCCATCAGTTTCATGCCCATCTAAAAATTGAAACCCAAAAAAACCAAATTTCGAATAATTTCGACGACGATGAAGAACACAAGTAGAGTATCAAAACACCCAATCAAAAAAACTTAGTTGCTTCTTAGAATTACTGGATGCAGATCGCTCAAAAGAAACCCTAGAACTTGAAACCCCCACGAAACTGCAAGAACCATTCGGGAATGTGGTGGGGTTGCTAGAAAGAGTAGGTGTAGAGTAGAGACGGTGTAGAGAAAAGGTGGTCCTGTAAATAAGTTGTGTTTGGGAGGAGTTCCAATTTGGGGGGAGTCCAAGAGGAGATGATTATAGGTTGCAGGTGAACGATTGCAGGTGCATAGTTGCACGAGGAGACGCTGACGAGATGGTTGCAAGAGGAGATGACGGCGGATGGTTAGAGGAGGAGAATGATTTCAGGCAGAGGAGGGACTCATCATTGTTCATTGGAGGTTCGTTTCATTAGTGGTGGTATTGTTCATAGGAAGTTTGTTTCATGGAGAAGGTGGGACTTTGTGTGTGTATGTAGGTGTGTGTGTTATATTCATTTAATTAATCTATATTGATTAAAATTTATTTTTTAAAGAAAAATGACAAAAGTCTAAAATACTCCTCGTCTCTAAGGAGATTATTTAACTGTTAGAGGATGGACCAAATTCAATCATTTTTGCATACTATGATGGCGAATTTGTAATTTTAAAATTATAGGAACCAAGTGTTACAAATGCCAAACCAGAGGGACCAAATTTGTAGTTTACTCAACAATAAATGATATGCATGTGGAAATTAATTAAGGATGATTAGATGCATGTGGGCCGGAGTAAAAGATTACCCATTAATTTGCTTAAATTATCTCAAATTTATATATTATTTTTCATTAACTAAATTGATGGAATTAGCTTAAAAAATAGATTGGAATTCTTGTCAAATCTTAAATTTAAATTGGTTAGTAGTTTGACTTTTTTCATTTCATTATTAACTTCTGTATCTATAAATTCAATAAAAATACATACAAATTTACTTTTATATATATATATATATATATATGCTTAATCAAATGAGAACTAATTAACATGAGCCAATTATTTAGGATAATTAATATTTTTGTTAAAATAAAATAAAAGAGCAAATTAGTAACTTGGGTTAATTATTCAATTTACTTTAATTAGCTTAATATTTCAATTTACTTTAATTAGATTAATTACTTTATTAATTATTTTAATTAGATTAATTACTTTAGTTTGGGTATCACATTGTTCATGGTATGTATCACTCTAGTATTTAGTTCTCAATGACCAACCATATATATATATATATATACAAACACACACAACGTATGTATCATAGGGATACTACAGTTGGTATCATAATGGTCTCGAAGTTTATTTGTTATGTTTTGAATATCACATGGTATGCATTTTGAATAACACATGGTGTTTGTCGAAATAAGATTTACATCTCATTAATGTTGACATATAATTAAAATTGATCTAATATTAAAGATTTTTTTTACGTTTCTCATCATAACTCATTTCTCCCAAAACTCAACCCAACATATATATATATATATATATATATATATATTATTAAATGTAATTGAATATTTAGAATACATTAATTA